AGAGAGAGAGAGAGAGAGAGAGAGAGAGAGAGAGAGAGAGAGAGAGAGAGAGAGAGAGAGAGAAATCCATCTATTTCATTTTCTGAACAACACTCCGCCTCTTCCCGCACAACACGTCGCTCAAAGAGAGATGGAGTAAGGGAGGCAGCGGCGGCGGGGGGAAGGGGGGGCTTCGCCACGGCAACAGCTGTTTAACTGATGCCCGTACGCATGGCCAAGGAAGGAAGACACTGTCGTCATTGCGAACACTCTTTGCCCCCCTTTCTTCTCTGGGCAGCACTCCAGAATGGGAAATCCCGACAACACTGCAGCAAAGAAACAAATGCGCATTAACATTTTTTGTTTCAGGGCAGCGCCCAGCCACTGCACAGAAGCCCCGCGTGCCTGGCTCAGTTAGCACACGCATAAGCTACTGAAATACGGACTGAAGTTTAAAATCCACATGCAAGACGCTGAGCAGAACAAAATACGTCCGATTTGCCTGGGGCCTCGACACACGACTCACCAACTGCACAACTGCACAAAAGACAAAACCTGTGGTGGTGTATCTTTCTGGCTTCTGCATGAAGATTGATTCTCGCTGCCGTGCAGTGAGGCCCACAAACACTATTCCCAAAAGAGCAAAAAACGGATAGTACTAAATGACAAAAAACTAAGGATGATCTACGCCGGGCCTCGTCACGGCCCTCACCAAACGTGCGAAATGAGATTTGATCTTCCCACAGAGCACCAAAAAATACACCGCTACGATTGTTGTCACTTGTGCAGTTGGTGAGGGCCGCGCCGATGGCCATCATGGCAGTTTGTGTAGTTTGCTTTTCCCTTTTTTTTTCTTGCGTCAAGACTGGTCATGCAGCCTGTAGCTTTTCTCGGCCGCTGCTTTCCCAGTCACATTTTCCGGGCCACCGCTGGTAGATCCCAGGAACCGGGCTGCACGACTGTCCACCTCACAGATGGACCGAATCCGGTCGGGACGGGTCGCGACTCGTGATGTAGTGTTACACCCGAAATAACTTTATTAGATTTAGTAGTAGAAAAAGAACTACACTGCCATCGTGATGTAGCGTTAGCAGGACTGTGCAAGATCCTGCCATTTCTGGCCCACGTGCGTATGGCTCCCCAATTTTTCTTTCTCCGGAAACCGTAGATCAGGTCCCCCAAATTTTCTTTTTTTCTGAGACCGTCGATGTGGTCTTTAAATCGGTGGCGCACATCCAAGGAGACGAAGCCCGTCTTTGGGCCAGAATTGGGGTTGCAAAACAGAGGGAGGTACTGGACCTCCTCCTTTGTCGGTCTTCTTGGTCTACCGGGGAGCGCGTGAGCGCGCGCACGCATGCGCGCGCTCGAGAGAGAGAGAGAGAGAGAGAGAGAGAGAGAGAGAGAGAGAGAGAGAGAGAGA